CCTGGGAAACTGGAAGTCATGCTCGAGGAAAAGCAAAACAAGTCACGCAGTTCTGTGCTTCACTGTGTTCTCGTATCTGGAAGTGGTAAGTGAAATGAGAATGGAGGCACCTCCCAGAAAGGCCTAGTTCCCAGAAAAAAAGTTTAGTGACTCAGGAAATTGCTCCCATAAATGAGGAGTACAGGACAACCCACTTATCTATTTTCATAATAATTGTAACGATGATGATGATAACGAACATTTGCCGAGTGCTAACAGTATGCCAGGTTCCTCACACAGCCCGCTGAGTAGGTGCTATCACTATATCCATTTTACAGATGAGAGAGTGGAGGTTCGGGGTGTTACCCAACCTGCCCAAGAACATACATATAAGCAGGGTTCACATCTGTGGAGCACTTTAGGTGGAAACAAACAACGGAAATTTAAGTAACTCCAGCCTCTGTTTCTATACTATTGTTACTAAAAACAGGTGGGGAGATTGCTTTGCTCCAGAGCAGAGCTAAACCCTCAATATGGTGGTTGTGAATCACCTGGACTATTGGTTCAGCAGAAGCCTGATTCTAGCGATACCTGAGGATCAGAGGTAAATAAGTCACCAGTTTTCCTCCTGGCAAGGCTGTTCCAGATACAGATTAGTGACAGCAGAGTGACCATAAGCATGTCCCCTGATGCAGGGCCCCTGAGCCTCCCACATGACTCCCTGTTCTGAGGGGCAGTGGTGGGAAGAGAGCTTACCCACTGTGGTTCCCCATCAAAGCCTGGGGCGTATGGCTGCTGGGCTCCTCTGCCATTTTATCACCATTTCCTGTCACATCTCCCGGCGCTGCCCTCTGGTTCTCCTTGGAGTCCCCTCCATTCTGCAGAAGGCCTCCTTCCACCTCTAAGGCATCGAAGGTGTTGGCAAGGGCCCAGGGACTCATCAGGGCGTCCATCTCGGCATAGAAGGGGCAGGTGCCCAGACCATGGGTGCTCCTGGCCTTGTGGTAGTGGGTCTGGAGGTTTTTGAACCGGTAGTGACACTGCTTCAGGGTGCGCAGGAAGCCACATTCCTGCAGCTGCTCAGCCACAATCCGGTACACTTGGCGGTTCCGATGGCAGGTGCGGAGTTTCTCATGGATGTAGGGCTCACCCAGAATTCCCAGGAAAGTTTTCGTTTCTTCATAGCCCCAGTGTACCCCTAGGAGACAGGTATAGAGGTCAACTAAGGCAAGGCTGCTGGTTTTGTAATGAAAATAGCAGAAGACCCCTCCCTTCCTACCACAGCATTTCAGTGATTTCCTGAGAAACAATCGAGTGGGCTTTGTCCTCTGTGACAGCACTTGCTCTCACAATATGCTTGTAAATATTCCTAAAGAATGGCTCTTCCTTTTTCTCAATTTCCCACATGAACAAAGGGCTCTCCCATTTGCAGTAAAAAGTAGTCTCTCTTTACCCTTTGCAAACTACTGCAACAT